CCAGAACGGCTTATGGTGAAGTTTAATAAAAAACAAGTAGTACGCGCAGAGCGAAATAACGCATGGTGTGCAGCCAAAGTGAAAAACATAGATGCATCGTTAGTACAGTTAAAATTTCTTGATATAAAGGTCGAATGCACAGAATGGATCTATCGGGGCTCAAACAGGTTATTCCTATTATATTATAATGAAATAAGTAGTAACAATCAAGATAAGGCTGTACGTGGTACGAAGTTGACTGATGTTAATAAGTTATTAAATCGACCATACATTGAAACAGTAAACCTGACTGAAAATGGAAAAAGTGTTAACATTGACAACAGAGACAATACTCAAAAACCTCAAGAAAATAATGGTGTAATTAAATCAATTGAAATACCAGCAAACTGTCCAAAACCGCTTCCTTACAAGCACCACGAGTGTTCTCATTTTTGTATGTTATGGGTTCACTATGACTACAGTCAAACAAAATGTATGAATGTTTTAACCATTCCATTACATTATGGATTTACGAGGTCTGTATTAACAGACGAAAAGTTAAAATTAAGAAAAGTAATATATACCACTCCTTGCGGGCTTAATATAGATGATGAAAACAAAATGTACAATTACTTGAAACTGACAAGTTATGGTCATAGCCAAATGACAATGGACTTATTTAATTTTGATTGTTTGGTGAATCCGCTATCTTCGTTCAGCGTACCAAAAGAGTTTATTCGTATACAAGACATATCTTATGGGATAGAGTTTAAATCAATAAGCGTTTTCAACAGTGTGAATGACTTAGTACCAGACCACATAAAGTATATAAAAGAACGCATGACTAGCCCTAACGTTAATTTGAATATGGACTCCAAATTTTTATGTGGATGCAATTGTATAGATAATTGCGAAGACAAAAATAAATGCTCCTGTTGGCAACTTACTTACGAGGGTCCAAAAAATTATCCAGAAATTTTCAAAGACCATGACAGCGTTGGCTACAGTTTCAAACGGCTACACAAACAAGTAATCACGGGTATTTTTGAATGTAATGCCAATTGTAACTGTAAGAAAACTTGTTTAAATCGTGTTGTTCAGGAACCAATGAAGGCGTCACTGCAACTGTTTTTCACTGAAAAAAAAGGCTGGGGGGTGAGAACACTCGCTGATCTTCCCAAAGGCAGTTTTATTTGTACATTTCTTGGGGTGGTTCGCACAGAGAAAGATGCTGATAATGATTTTTCGTTAAACTGGGGCGAATATCTGGCAGATTTGGACTTTCTCGATACAGTTGAAGAGGTCAAAGATGGATATGAAAGTTATGTGGTCCAGACTGAAATTGAAGATGAAAGTGAAGATTATACTAGTTCATCTGATGATGAAGAGTTTATCCCTAGTTGGGCAATCAAGAGTAAAATGAGTATGTTTGAATCTAGAATGTCGTTAAGGAAGAATTTACAAAATACAAATACAAAAAGTGATGGAAAACATGAACTGTCTAAGTTAAATACTCAACAAAAAGTTGAAAGTAAAAACACATCTTTGCTAAGCTACCTAGATAAAGACTGTGGCATCTTCACGATGGATGCTAAGGTCAGTGGGAACATAGGTCGTTATTTTAATCATTCTTGTGACCCAAACATATTTGTTCAAAATGTTTTTATCGATACACATGACCTTAGATTACCATGGGTGTCATACTTTGCACTATCAAATATTCCAGCAGGAACCGAACTAGCATGGGATTATAATTATATAATAGGCAGCGTGAAAAACAAAATCCTTATGTGCCACTGTGGGTCGAAAAATTGCAAGGGCAGACTATTATAATTTGTATTTATAATCAATATTTTTGTAATTATTAATTAATTATTAATTAATTGTTTTTTTTTTTTACATAGAGACAACAGAATATGTTATACTTCAATGATTTACCTATGTGTGTGAATAATATTATTGTATAAAAATATTGAAATATTTTACTTTGAATTTTTCGGATATCAATATTTTAAAGTCCAACAGATCAGTATAGATGCATCTTACATACTATTATTTTCACATGTTATTAGAAGTTAGAAGACTTGTAAATATATTTTTAAGTTATGTGTGCCAGATGTCCTATATTTTATACGGAAATGTTCAGTTTTTAATAAAAAGCACATTTATATAAGGTTTTTTTTTTTATTTTGAGACAATAACACTTAATATCATTACTAAAACTGCGGGCAAAGGATTAACGCTCTGCTGTACATCAGATGACTAGATGAATCGCAGTAATGGATGTGTTAAATTTGAATTCAAACGATTCTGAGCGAAGATATAATATTATTAAGTATATTTTATGATATTATGATTAGAGTAATATATTTTACTATTAGGGGCATTGGTCTACAGTAAGTTAAATTCATTTTTGCCAAAAAAATTGCATTTGAAAATGTCATTGTACGTCTAAAATATAATAATAAACTTTAAAATTTTCAAGTACCCAAAAATATTTTTAAATTACAGCCAAATAGCTCAAAACAAGTAAAAATATTTTGAACATTTTATTTTTATGAAAAAATAAACATTTTGTGAAAATGTCGAGTTTCCATGGTTATTAGTTTTTGAATTATAACAAAATTAGAAAATCGTTCTATGAGATACTAAAGAATAACTAATGGTGATTTATGGATTTGGCTTTCAGATAGTTCAATATACATGTTAACATGAGTGATAATATAACTATGTGACCAAGTAAGATACGACACGAAATTGAAAATATGAACTTTGATTGACTGTTTATTCTTACATGAAAATGTATTCAAGATACAATATCATTAACTTTTCAAAAGTCATTCAATTTTACTTTCTAAATTCTAAGATAAACAATACTACAATAATCAAATAATCAAGATTTAGCATTCTTAATTGAAAACATACTAACATTTAAAACAAAAATGTGAAAAACAAAACCGACTAAAAAGCCAAATTTTCTAAAAAAAATCTGACCAATGTTTTACACAAATAGCCCTGATGTTTAGCAACAATAACAATCATAAATTGTTATTGTTAAGCTACTTATTTTTAAAAGTGAAATAGTATTTTTATGTTCTAAAGACTATATCTATCGTTCAGTTGTTTTACCAACACAAGTAGACTTTAGTAATAATGAAATAAAAGTTTTTAGGACATCAAAAAATACAAAATTTGTTTCAAATTGTGTAGGCTTATCATATTGGTTAGGCAAGTACCTAATAGAATTAAATAAGATAATAATTGATCATTTTTCTAAAATATGAGTTGTTCTTATTAAAACTTCTTTATATTTCTTTTCAGACTTTTTTATAGGTACTGTCTTTAAAGTTATAAACACGATTTTAAAAAACATAACTTCATAAAGATTAAATATTTATAAATAGTAGAACAATTGAAAACTATAGAATATTTATCCTATTAGGTAGCTAAGAAACTGTCTTATGAAAAATATCTTTTTAGTATGATTATTATGATTTATTACAATTTATTTAGAATACATTGATATAATGTTACAAACTGAACTAGGTAACAAATAAAACAAATGTTGATGTGTTTCCTAAAAAAATTCCTTATAGCTCCTGAAGAAACATAAATATACTCTGTTCCATCTCAGTGTGAACCGCTTTTGCGCACTCAGACTGAGCAGTGTCTGACCTATAAACCAATTGAGACTTCTGAATTTCCGTGTGAATTTCATAATTTTATGTTATCACGCATATTATAATAATACACTAGTATATACAATATTATATATATATATATATATATATATAATTACAATTTTTTTTTACTATTTCTTAGTTATAAAGTAGTTATTTCTATTAATTATTATTTATACAATTTTGTACAATAAGCATATTTGATAAGGATTAGAAAAAAAACATGGATTTCTTGATAAGATGTCACCCATTAGCGACACTTAGCTTGGTATTTAATACTTTTAAATACACATTTAATAATAATAAACTATAAAATAAAAATATGCAAATAAATAGGTAGGTACCCCAAATTCATTTAGGACAATAAATATTATTTTATATTGAATAAAGTAATAACTTTTAACTTATAACTTATTTAATGACTTTACAATATTATAAAGTATCAATAAATCAACCAAAATATTAATACCTAGATAAAATAAAATTAGAAGTATCAAATAAGAGGATTTTTAATTTCATAATTATATTTCTATACTTATTTCACTCTTAGATGGAACAGAGTATAGTATTCACTATACACAATATTTCAATTAATATATATCCCTATATATATTTAGCAATGGGCATAAATAATAGTTACCTACATCATAAATTTTAAATTTCTACATTGCTCAGCATTTAAAAATTAATTAATATTAATTCAACTTGCATGATATAATAAATAATAACAATATAAAATATCCAGACTGACAAACCGTCTCCGCTCAGAATCGTTTTTCTTATACAATGACCCACTTGTAGGTTATTGTTGTACAGCAGAGCGATATCCACGGACCCGCTTTATATGGGGTTTGGTAAGTTCCCACACAAAACATAGCAGGTAAGCGAGTACATATTATGTAAGTTCCCACACGAAAAAAAATACCCTCGTACGTAAGTTTCCACACGGAAAAAATTACACCTGTACGTAAGTTAAGTTATTAAGACTTATGAATGACAACTTAAACGAAATTTTTTTAAGTATAAAATAATAATAATAATAGAAAAAATCACATTTTGTTTGATCTAATAACACTTTACAATATATTCATACCTACTGTGTTAACAAAAATATACTGATACGTATTTTCCCACGTGGCGATACAATTTAATACATTACATTCTATCTACAATAATTATTATCTTTATTATCTGTTGGCTATGATAATATTAAATAGTATGGACAGTCCATTTTATTGATTTCAGTACTCGTTCATTATTAACATATAAATTTTATAAGAAACATACCGCTAAAACAAATATATGTACGTGGATGTGTGTAGATAATAAGTGCCGTGCTAAATGTTACAAAAATTAGTTGGAAATAAAAATTCGTGTTTTGTACATACCCATGAGGAAGAAACTACTTTAAATCGGCAAAAAATAAATAATTCTTGTAAAAGAAAAGCAGTAGACAGCGTTGTTGAAAAACCTTCAACAATTATCAGACGAGAACTTACACAACATGAAAATGAAGGTAATTTGTTAATGTCTGATATTAAACTTATTTCCAGAAATGTACAAAATGCTAGAGCCAGTTGTTATCCTAAAATACCAAAGTCAAGAAAAGAAGTTCATAATACTTTGAGATAATAATATTTTCATATGATACTAATATTGAATTTTTGAAAAAACTGGAAATAGTTTACATGGCTCTTTTAATTACTGTGATAAACATTTTACTCAACTATATACAGTTCATGGTTTAAAAAATAGTATTTATATTCCATTAATGTTTTGCTTTTTACCGGATAAGACATTGAAAACATATATTGAATTATTAAAAAAAATAAATGAAGTTGGAATAAATTTGTCTTAGACTTTGAGATATCAATGCACGAAGCAATAAATATTATATTTCCTACAGCACAAATATGGGGATGCCGTTTCCATTTGGGCCAAGCTTGGTACCGGAAAATTCAAAGCTTAGGGTTTGCACAAGCAGTGGCGTATTTTGGGTTTTTTTTTGGGGGGGGTGTCCTGACTCCTGATCTCCACAGTTATTTAATGACAAATATTAACATAGTTTCACCACTAATTCATACCTGATTATAATACATCTTAATACCTTATATAAGTGGACATTTTTTTGTAAAAAAATTATAGGATTGCTACTTACATTTTTAATTATAATACAATTATGACAGGAATAAAGTATAAACAATTTTACTGAATAAAATAAAACCAATCTAAGGCTGGGGCTATACACGGCGTATTTCGCGTATTCCGCATCGTTTTCCGCGGCGTTTTCCGTCGAATTAAAAACGTATTGGTTTAAATCAGAGCAGCTATACACGACGGGCGTAATACGCCGCGTTTTTCGGGGCGGCAAAAAACGCCGTTCGGCTTGCGTTTTCCACCGCGGCGGAAAACGCGGCGTATTACGCCCGTCGTGTATAGCTGCTCCGATTTAAACCAATACGTTTTTAATTCGACGGAAAACGCCGCGAAAAACGCGGCGTTCGAAACGCGGTGGAATACGCCGTGTATAGCCCCGGCCTAACACTTAAATTTACTGAGTATTTTTTCGTATGAGTTTAATTTATTTTGTATACTTATATAATATTATAGATATATTAAAAGAAAAAAAAACACTAAAATTTCAAAACTTAAACCTCACAGTATTAAAGGTAGACGTCTTTTTTTTACAGCCAATTCGTCTCGTATTGTTGTACTTCGAGTGTACAACTGTCAACTGACAACTGTACATAGTACACTTTATATCGTTGGTCTTTTGCTATCGTAGATAATAATAATTGTTGTATTTGAAGAAAGATAATAAGGCGATAGCCTATAATACGGCTAGCCGAAACGATAATACAATTCTAAGAATTACATAGTTCACAATATTCTGTTATTTCGCCACTGCCTGCACGGCTGCACCTAGAGAGCTATTTATATATATATATACACGCAATATATATAATCAATGCTAATACCTATTGACTATTATCTGGTATAAGATGAAAATATAAAATATACATTATTCAATTTTCATTTTTCAAAGCAGTTTTAAAATATTTCGTTATTCGTATTTTGTGATACTTCAGTAATGAATATAACTAAGAAAAAAATTGGGGGGGGGGTTAACCCCCAGGACACCCCCCCTAAATACGCCACTGTGCACAAGACTTTAATTTTGCAAATGATGAATTAGGAAAGTGGCCGGTACATTTATTTGGTTTACCATTTCTTAATTCAATAGAAGTTGGAGATTGTTTTGTAGACAGTTTCATGGCTGTGAAAAACCAGAAAATAATAAAATAAATGAATTTTGCGATTATTTAGTAACTCATTACATCGAAGATACCAGTACGTTCCCCCCTAGTATTTGGGCTAGTGCTAGTTCTGATACAAGCCTTACTACAAACGCTTGCGAAAGTTTCCATTCTGAATTCAATTCAAATTTGTATTATCATCATCCTAATATATTCAAAATAATAGAAGTTTTAAAAATGTTTCAAACAAATACATATATAAAGATAAGAACATCAGAATTAAATAGACCTCAAAAAAAAAAGTAAAAAAACAGAAGAAAAACAAAACTATATAAATAATAAAATTTCAGATTATAACTTACAAAAAATTACACTGTATGACTATGTGAAGTGTTTGAGCTATCACAATAAACCTAATAAAATTTGATTTTTTCTATTATTATTTTTATTTTATACATATACAAATATTATACACATTATATTACCTATTAATTTTTATTATATATTATACGGACTAGATTCAATTGGACTTTTTTTTATGCAATACAAAAACAAAACAAATTTTAACCACACCAACTACGTTTAAGTTGTCAGTCCTAAGTCTGAATAAAGTGGGAAGGAAGTTTGTGTTTGGCAAGGCTGAGCATTAACGAATTAAAAGTTAAAATTATAAGCAATTTATATAAACATTATTATTATTATTATTATGTTATTACGTTTTTAAAAATATATGCATTATTTAGAACAATGACCCTTTTTAGATTTTATAACTTGTACGATTACACATTTATTTTACATATCCATGTGTGCATATAATTTCAAAAATGGTTTTTTATTATTGTGTAAATAATTAAATTATACAATAATTATTGTTAACAATATGTCTAGTTATTTAATTATTTTATACCTATATATCCGTTTTTACTGTTTACAGTAAGTCTGAGCATGATACTCTAGCATGATTCGATAGACTACCATTCACATGTTTTTTATTGAACGATCTTTTTGTACCGATATGTTTAATCGTTCCACTCAAATTTGTTTCTTAAGAATACTGAATGTTTATGTCCTCATTAAATTTGACTCGTTGAGTTAGAAAGTTATTGCTAAATAAACTTACTTAAGGGTTAAGTTAAAACTATTAAAATGTTTTCCACTTCAAAAGTAACTTTGAAACTCAACTTTAACTTTATTATTAGTCAGTGTCCAGCCTCGATAGATGATACTAATTACAACACTTGGGAACTTGGGGTCTAGCTGGCCTATATAGCTGGATTTATTTATTGGCTACACATCGTTATAAGTTATAATATTATTTTTATTTACAAAAACTTGTTGGTATTTAAGACCATCGTATTGTACAGAAAATATTGATTATGGATGTATTATATTCGATGCCTCGTGAATATATACATATAAATATATTTATTATATTATATCAATAAGAGTCGTTTTTATATTGTGAAACGCACCACTCGTTCCATTCGTGTGTTTAGTGGAGAAGACACTATGTATAATAATAATAACATTAACCGGTTCAACCACTAACCATAAAAGGGTACATACGACATGTGTGTGTGGACAGCGTGTGCGTGTATTCGTCGTCATTGTGCGTCTATAATAAAATAGCCGACCGGGAGGGAACCGCATGAGCATTACTTCCTCCCAGCAGCATCGTTTATTGAACAATCACATCACAAAAATAATACAAATTTTAAATTACATAAAATGGGGGCTTCTAACCACCCTAGAGGGGCCTTCGGCTTTTATATAGTACCTAGTATAACTTGTTTGCAATATTTTAAAAACCATCTTAGTTTAAGTATTGATAGCTTAATCCTTACATTTTAAACGTGGAATACCTTTTTATTATATTACAAGTTGATTAGAAAATTTAAATAATACCTGGAGTATAATATTTGGAGTCGTAGTAAAATATATATTATTAAGTATTGTACACAATATAGGTACCTACCGGCTACAACTGAGTCTATAGACCTGCAAGGGCCGTACATTTTCGGCCCGGTCCGGTCCATCAATTTTATCCTCAGGCCCGGCCCGGTCCAAAAAAAATTGTGAAAAAAAGCCCTGGCCCGGTCCGAAAATAATGCTAAGCTCGTAAAAAGCACGGTCCGGTCCATACAATTTATCCTCGAGCCCGGTCCGGCCCGATCCAAAAAATATTGTGAAAAGAAAGCACTGGCATGGTCCGAAAATAATGCCAAGCTCGTAAAAAACCCGGTCCAGTCCATCAATTTTGTCCTCAAGCCCGACCTGGTCTGGTCCAAAAAATATTGTGAAAAAAAAATATAATATTATTATGGTAGGTAATAGGTATATAAATTATTATACCCACCAATCAATAAATTATTATATTCATTGTGATTGTATCTAATATCCATAGAGTATACTCTATATGTATCTATCTGTACCAATGTCGGTTCTTATGATTATTATTTATTATTTTAAATTGTGATTATTTACTGTCGAAGAAAAAGCCCGGTCCAACCCTTGATTTATTATTCGAAGTCCAGCCCGAAAATTGCACAAAAAACCAAAATTGGAGCAAAAATTGCACCTAGACATTTCATTAATCAATATAATATCATTATCTCATATTTAAACGATAACATAACATAAATGACAAGGCTGGGCAAGTTGGACATTTTTTTCAACTAATTTAGTTTTTTTAACTTAAAAAAGACATATACAACCATGTTACAAATACCCAGTCTTTAAATATAAATTAAATCAGAAATTTGTCGACTCTCTAACATACTAATTGGATAGTTAGTTAGACGTTATAGTTGAAGAATAAGTAGGTAGGTATTTATAGAAGTCAGAAGTTAGATTTTTATGGTTTAAAATATAAATTCAAAAAAAAAAATTGTTTGTTCAAAATATATAAAGTATCTATTAGACTAAATTAATTATTATATATTATTGGGGTGGGTTCTAATAAAGAAATAACTGCATATTTATATTTATAATCATGGTTTAAAGTAATAGGGCTTTACGAAAAATATAAGGGATTGATAAGAAATAATGTGACAAGAAAATATGTACCTACCTATCTATATTATCATACAATACTAAATATTAATTATTATGCAGTCCGAACTCGAAAGTTTTACATTTTAGGGAACATTGCGATTCTTGCAGAAAATAAAATTACAAAAATAAATAATTTAATCTTGATTTTAATTCGATAGATCAGATATTATTAATTTATCTCATATTATTATCAGCTCGTTAAGTTAGAAAGTTACATATTACGAATTAAAAGTGACTGGTTAAGTTACAATTATTAAAAAGTTACCTACGTTGAAAGTAACATTCCAAATTAACTTTAACTTTCTTAATATTTAGTGCTCA